TGCGGAGATAATAGTTATTTCTGTCATTAGACCCAGAAATTTTTCCGAAAATTGATGAAAACAGCAGTGATTAAGTTGTGAAAGGAAATATTGCAATCCCTTGAAGGTAAGATGTTGTATGCCGTATGCCATTCACAAGGTGTCTCCAAAGAATTCTTCAATATTATAGCAGGCTTTAGTCAAGAGTAACTCGCTTACCCCTTTCTAAACCTCCCGTATGAACGAGAAGACCTAACGCTAGATGGTAGAAAATTGAAGACTTTCTTGGCAAAATAAACAAAAGACTTGGTGATTATTAGCTTGCCTAGTTCAATAGTGCCTTGCCGAAGAAAGTTGGTCATAGTATTTCCTATAGACCAGGCAAACACTTTCGAGTATATGTAAGCATGGCACAGTCAAAATTCTATGGAAATAAAGCTAGGTTTGCAAGATTGTCGGAAGAGAACTCTAAGCATAAACCTAGGGGATCTTTTTTGTAAAATAAATATGGAGTTGAAATTTTTAGTACTGCAAGAGCCCCAAAATGCAATTACATAAGTAATGTGAATTGTCTCTTACAGGAATCATTTAGGGATTTATTTGTTCAAAAACTGCCTGGAAAGCTTATGAAAACAAGGCATTGTGTAATATTGTGTATAATGAAAAACACGAAGGCCCCTTGTGCATCCTCCTAGGTCCGGCTAATCCATTTAGGCCAACCCCCAGGGCCCAGCCTAATGCTTTCAGAACGACGGAGATGCTGATCCGGAGCGCAGGAACCAAAACTCACTTATTCGGGTTAGGCTATAGCTGCCCTCCTTGCCTCAACGCATCCCTACGCTGTTGTTTCGGTAGGTAGTTGATAGATAGGCTGATAATATTCTCAGCCGAGAATGAAAATATTATGCTGCTTCCTCTGATTAGCACAGAAGAACTATAGATATAAAACTAAGACTCATCATTTCATAAATTCATACTCTAGAATAATTGCCGAAAATTGGTTGTGAAAACAAAAAAATTGCCGCTTTCCCGGATTTTGATATAACTTATGGTTCCCATAACTATTTGGGCAAATGTGTTTATAAAAGTATTTAGCTACAGACGTCAAATAATTTGTTGGCTAACTTTGAATTGGCAAGAAATGACCATTGGCTCTTGTGAAAATGATAGGTAGGCTTTTGAGCACAGAGGCCATCCATAACTATGGCATCCATCAAAATTATAAATGGGGGAGTTTTGTTTTAAAGGCGTAATATTGCACTGCCCCTTTTACTAGCGTTTCCATGTCATTTACATCATGGATATCCATGGTGTAAGTGACATGTATATCCATGGTTTAAGTGGTATCCATTCAATTCAAAACCAAGCTTTTGAGACTCCGCAAAATAGTCTAGGGAACAAAACATATCGGTCTTTCAATTTTAAGACAAAACAACTTTTTCCTAAAGATAAGGTGGGTATTATTTATTGAACAAATCTTATCAAATTCACCATATCGGCTTTTTTTGCAAGCTTGTTTAGTTCAAATATATCATAAATAAAATCAGCAACAAATTCCTGATAAATATAAGTATTATCTTATTCCCTAGACCATTTTCATGTGTGTATTTAATTATGTGACAAGACAAAACTCTACTCAAAACAAATAATTCTAGGGCAATATTTTTTTTTCCAGTGATGATTGTTGCGGTCATCTGATATTTAGGATTATTTTCCAAATATGCGGTTGTGAACAAGCTTTTACATTAACACAGGAATTTGCATTGTCTAATGTTGAAGGAACTGCTTCTAAAGCGGTGCATTGTTACTCAAGACTTGTATGATTTCGAAATAAGAAGGCATGTCAGTCGAAGCGTGTAATGATTCAAAATGAGAAATTGAACTTGGATCAATTTTTCTGAAAAGTATTTGCTCCAAAATAAAGGACCACTGTTTAACAGGGTATTTTCAAGTTTCCAAAGAGACTCAGTTTTCTGTCAATGTGTTTACCAGTCTTTGTGGATTTTCTGACGTTTCACATATAAGAAAGTCAAGATGTCTCATTCCCATCATCAAACTGATAAAAAAGTCAGCCATACAAACTTTATTAGAAAAATAACTCTCAGGATTTGCAAAAGTGAATAAATTTCTCCCAACTACCATCACCTTTCTCTACCATGACTAAATACCTACCGTATAAGTATTATTATTTTACAAATTTTCTTGAAAAATAACAAAAACTGCATGATTCACCCCACGTTCAAACGGCGGTAGCTTTCGTAACGTACTTCATAGTAGGCATGAGTTTGTGGAAACTTTTTATTCATTATGGAGAGTTCTATCACACCCTTTAGTGTGAAAGAGTACATTTTTGACTTCCTGGTATAACACCTGAAAAAATTTATTGACATCGCACGAAAACCTGTTTGAATGCTAAATTCAAAATCGAGAATAGTTTTAATTGGTCAATTTTTGATGTCAAAGTCAAAAAACGCTTTATTGTCCAAGAACAAAATTCTCGTTAAAAATTAACCTCTTCCAATCAAATCAGGTACGACTGATCAACTTGATCAGCGGAAAATTGTATCATCCAGGTCCTGTCAAGGTTTTAAACAAAAAATATACCAAACTCCCAGTGCTTCCCCAACATAATGTTGAGTAGAGAAACTATACCTGAAGTATAATTTAGTAATGGATAAGTATGGCGAGGGCCCCGTACATTCGTTTGTAAAAATTAGTTACAAATTAGAAACAAAAATTAATGAAGAATGAATGAATCAGAGATTTGTTGCCCTGGTTGCACCCTCACAAAGAATTTGAAGTTTAAATCGAGTTTTCTCTCAAATTTAAGACCTTTTTCTGGTCCAAAAAAAAAATAAAATAATAATATTTGGGAATTATTTTGATTCCTCTTTTCAATAAACAAAAATTTCATGAAAAAGTTCCATTATGCGCTCGCCCACTTCAAAGCTACGTCCACACCGAAAGCAACATATAGGAACATTATGTTTATGTTGCTTGTTCCTGGAACTTGTTTCTGTATGTTTCCAAAAGTTTATTCAAGTTACTCATTGTTTACGGTTGCAGTAACAAAAGTTCCTATAAGTTGCTCGTTGCTCGTTTCCATATTTAGCGAAAAATAACAAAGGAAATATAGGAACATTGGTAAACATTTTGTGTTTCTCAACTTAATTTTTATCAGTGTGGACACGTTGTTGCTTGTTCCCAAAACTCGAAATTTAGCCATTCTGTGTGTGGAAATCGTCGTCGCTCTACATCGTTTTGAAACTAGGAACACACAATGCTGGTGTAGACACAGCGTTTACTGTTGTAGAAACACAACAGAACATTCATAGAAATGAGTAATTATGGTGTGGACAGAATGTTTACGGAACTTTTGCTGTTGTTTCTGTTTCCATAAACAGGTTGCGGAAACCAGCAACAAAATGTGCCCATGTGTTTCTTTGGTGTGGACTAAGCTTTACAGACACAACAACGAACCACTCACTTTCAGACGCCTATCCGACTGCAGCCTATGATGAACTGTTATGTTGCCAACCCCACCAGGATTACAGGGACGATTTGGTAGCGAACACATAGTCAGGTAACGTTCTTCACTACGCATAGAACCCCTCGACCAAGCCTCTCTGAACATCTGCCCATCATAACCCTCAACCAAAGCAAGTTGGCCCTGTCATTCCATTTTATTCTTTAGGCACGTTTTGGTAGTATACTTTAACTATTGTTATACAATTTTCGTTCTTTGGGGGACACCCTGATTCGTTTTTCTCATGAGAGTCTACCATCCATTGCAGTTTCTGCTCCTGAGACCAGATACAAGCTATATGAATAGAAATTTCAACTGACGCATTTGTAAGCCACAAATCAGCAATCATTAGTGATTCCGAATACACCAACCGCACATGACGCGCTTCAATCAGCTCCTAGCAATGTTACCGACACTGATCCACATTTCGAGCGTTTGAGTCTCTGCGCCACATATTCCTGCACTGTTTTTTCAGCACCTCACTAGTTATCTCCCACATAGAACCATTGCTTGGATGGAACATCAGCAAAAAGATAAATTGGCGTAAGCAGTTTTACCTGTCTTACTGTCATTTCCTCTCTTCCTCTGGGTTTTGGCGTTAGCAACCGTTTTTTCACAAAAGGCAATAATCCACTACATTGACCACAAACTAAGAGGTTATAACCCCCAAAATTCAAATTCTTTATTCGCACAATACATAAAGCATAGTTAGAACACTTTTTCACACCATTATCAGATTGAACATTTCCAGTTGACTCCATGTTGGATAATAAACTCATCAATTAAGAAAAAAAAAATCCTTATCACTTAATAATACATATTTTTAATTCTGTTCGAGAGTAGCATTCTCCAGTTTATAGACCTATTTGGTTTGTGTAAAACAAGAGTAACCAATATTTCTTGTCCGCCACTATGGAGGGTCCATTTTAAAGATGCGAAAATGTCAGTGGGAGAGAGACCAGTTGTGAAGATTGAATTTGAACAGTTTGAATTTGAACTTTAGAGCTATTACGAAAGGGCTATTTAAGTAATCCTAAGACTGTTTTGTTTTTTTTAATGACATCGAATAAAGAGAGATCAAACACACTCTGCAAGTGATTTTTGTGAATGTTTGGTTTGGATTTTGGTGATATACTCCTGTCCCATTATGTATTTCATGTTTATATTAACATCACATGTATTTTACCTCACCTACACTATATATTTTTCTTTATTATTTTTGCTATTTAGGATCGTTATTGTGATGGAGTGGTGTGAATTCTAGTGTCCTGTGACATTATGACGACTGATAGTGATAGGAATGTGAGGGTGAGAGATCTCTCGCTTCTAAAAAAATTTAATTTTGAAAATGAGGAAGCCTTTTTAAAAGTTCGAAGCTCTTTGTAATAACTTAATCAACATAAAATTAAAACAGTTTGGATAAAGTTAATAAAAAATATGGTCTAAGGAACGGGTGGCAAACTTTTCTTTAAGAGGAATAATTACTATATCTTACCTCATCTCTGATTGTTGTTTTGTAATGATGTTGGTGGGTAGCTTGAGTCTGCGGACCAGCGACATCCGCCCAACTCTGGTTGTGGTTGTGGAAAATTGGTGTGAAAGCTGGTCTGGGTGTTACAGCAGTTTTTGATCCTACAGCCTCAGCAACAATAGCACCATTATAGTCCCTGGCCTGAAATCTTTTTTCAAACACCTCCACTGTCAAATGGAGGTATTCCCTTTTGCACTTTTCCCGCCTCTTCACCAGTTCAAGCAATGTGACAGCTCTGAGTAAATCTCGGCGTAATTTGAGCATTTTTTCGTAAGAAAATTCGTCGTTTTTGCGATTTTTACGAGTTTGCATTTTCTCAGTGCGCCTCCTGAAAGCTATATACGGATTGTTGGCTGCTATGCCAGTACGGTGCTCGGTACGTACTACTGATATAAGGGGATGTTGCAGTTTAAGCCGTTTATTCAACCAATAATCGTACACAGCAATGGTTAACTCATCATCTTCTTTTAATAGAGCTTTAGCTTCTGCCAAAGTTATCACAGTCTGACCACTGCTTTTTTCCAACCTATCCATCATTTCTTCGAACTAAAATACGAAAGAGTTTAAACAGCAACATAGATATTAGGCCTTACTGCCTTCTCCATATACCTTTAGGATATTAAGATCTAGCCGAGGTTTTTGGACTTGTAACCAACGTTCGTCATCTGTGTCCATGTCGTAGTCCGGAATTTCTTGTTCCATAGTAAACGCTAAAATACATAAAAATCTGTATTGTTTTCATCCACACACAACTATTTACACATGTCACTCAATAAATTATATGATCTTTAGAACTATGATACTCAATATATTAAGTCTAAGGTTATATACCTCCTCCAGTCAGTGGGGAATTAATAGAAAGGTTGTACAATGTGTATTTTGGAAAATTTCAATCTTCCTTCACAAGTATATTTCCCAAATCGATAACTTATTATGATTATGTAGTTTATTTTCCACAGCTTTGTAAATGAGACTATGTCTTCCTACAATAAAGCAATTTTGATTTGATTTGATTTGATTAAATTCTTTCATATTTAGCCAGCCTAAATTTTAAACAAAGTAAACCGGAGAAAAATGGCAAGGATAGAATCTTAGATGAAGTCATTCATAACAATGAACATTGAGAGGCCTTTGATGTTCTACTTGATGAGGATTTGCACTTTTGGTTGCGATGAAATAAAGTAAGTCGAACACCAATTGGTAAAAATGTCCTGAGTCAAAGAGATCACGATTATTCGTACACTTGCCAAGTTCATACTTGTCTATACTTGTAGAGGCGCTCAAACGAAATGCACAAATAATTGGCTTTTACTGCGACTATTTCATTTAGTTTTCGACGAGCATCAAGGTTTAGCCGAATGTTCGCGCTCGCGTACTTGTAAATTGAACACGTCGTGTGAGCGCCCTGCTTGCCATCGCAATTCGCAAAGCTAGTATACTTGCCAAGTACGCGAATAATTGTGTATTCGGCAAGTACACGAGTCGTCTGAGCCCGGCTTTACACATTGTTATTAATGATTTGAAAAATACAACGGGTAATCTTGCAACACGCTAAAGTGAAAGGTCTTCAAACACACAAACATACCAGAAAAGAGGTTGAGCATTTGGTTTAATGGTATATCCCCACTACTAACTCGACTTTGTGGCAGTAGGGGAAATGCCTAACGTTGCATCTTTCCATCACATCTCATGTATTCATAATAACAGTATACATTCAACAGTATGATGAAAATATCAGATGTGATCCAAAGCGATTCTGAAATTTTATATAAAAAAAAGAAGAGAATAACAAAAAATATCAGAGTTTAAAGTTAATACAAAAACTTTATTTAATTAGGGAAATTTAAAATAAGCAGCTTTTAATCCTGATTGAATTGTCGAGTCATTACCCTAATAATGTGGGATTGTTGTGTGTGGGTGGATTCTACCAGAGGTGCTTTCTTTTCGGAGCTTTGAAACCCCACGCTTCGACGCTCTGAAAAGAACGGTAATTAAGGAAACATAATTATCTGACACTAGTGACAGGCCGGACACTGAAACTGTGGAGCTTCGACGCCTCGCTGAGGCGCTAGCGGTGGGGTTAAACGACCCCGGGGCGCCCAAGCCCCTGAAAAGAAAGCAGCTCAGAACACAATATCCACATTGAACATTGCACACAATTATATATTAAAAATAATCTTCAAAAAGAACAAACGCTTTTCTTCTCCTCTGCTCTACTTAAAAAAAGGTATTTGATGTGTGTTCTCTAGACATCTATAGAAACACCAATCATTGCTTCTATAACAAAGAAACTGATATCAATACTTTATCTGGCACCCAAAATGTAAAATTTATTACCACCACACACAAAGCATTTGAATCTGGAAAGATTTCGAGTAGCACTTAACACGCAGAAGTCACACCTACGAAAATCTAGTAACTTTTAAGAACAGTTTTACTTAGTGGAATGAGGCTGGCCAGATCGTCAGAACATCTTCCATGGTTATAGCGATAGAATAACGACAAGTCGGCCACCTTGCGTCTATGTTCGAGAGATTGCAATGAATCGGTGAGAGTTGGATTATTAATCATTTTATTTGCTCTTCTTTGTACTGCATGTAATACAGCCAACAAATCCTTGGGAGCATCGCTCCAGATGTGAGGACAGAATCCCATACATGGCCTGATTTGAACCTTATAAAGAAGAAGTTGTTCAGAAGTAAACAAATTTTTTTGCACGAAACAGAACACCTAATTTTTGAGAAGCAGTTATGGCGATCGAAGGTACATGGTCACACCAAGACAAGTTGGTCAATCCGGCCACCCCAAAAAGAGATACTGAAGGATAGATGGAAAGGTTTTGTCCCGACATCCTTAAAACTGGATTATCATCGGCGGAGGATTTCTTATTTAAGAATACAGTTGCTGGAGTTTTAGGGGCATTGAATTTGACTAAGTAGGTTGTTGAGGCCTCAGTTGGTAATGACGTCAAGATCACTGTTGATAGATCTGTTCTCGGGCGAGGCGTGTAAAAGTAACTGCAGTAAGCGGTTTGTCAAGATATCATCAAGCTACTATCTTCCGCAAAGCTGTATATGGGGTTTCTTGGCAGAATCAGAATATTTTTATTTTAGAGAAACATGCAAAGTGGGCGGCAAATGATAGTTCATGAAAATCCAAGCTATAGGAATGTAATATCGGTTTTCCTCTAAAATTAACCGCCATGATTTTCACATTGCATGGGTAAGTCAACAAAGATCACAAAATTCACTGTTTTTAAGGGGTTATGTATCTACAATAATCTGTCTGAGGAACTAAAGACAGCCCAGACGATAAATGCATTTAAATCTTTTCTAAAAAAGAAATTTCTGACGGAAGCATGCTAGATAGGATTTTTTTCAATGGTTTGCTTGTTGTTTACATGTTGTTTGATGCTTTTAAGTTTTAATTGTGTTTTTTTTTGTTTTGTTTTTTACCTCTTTTTTAATGCATATTGTATCTTTGTTTTTAACTAATTTAGTTTTTATTTATTATATATATATGTTATTTTATCTCTCATCTCTCTTTATATTAGAGAAATTATATTGAATTGTTTATACCTACTTGTAAACTTTGTAACTAGCAAATGCTAAATAAATGGATTATATAACCGTTTAGGTTTTACCAAAGTGTTTTACAGCCTGTCAAAGTTGCAAAAAGTCAATTTTCAACTGTCAATATTTCCAAAACAGTTGAACTTAGGTATAGGGTATATCACATGAAATCCGCTCAGAATTTTACCACAGCATATACAAAAACAATCAGCAGGCTAACTCTCACGCGCATCTTTTCTGCGCATGCCGCCATTAGGGGATACCATCCTGTCATTAAACGGCAGGGGCGCCGAAATTTTATTTTATTTGTTTATTTCTGACGGAGGTCATAGGCATGTCATAGGCGTGCAGTGTAGAGCGAAATTTTAACTATGATTTTCAAAATGATTTTAATATATTCTTGTTATCATTTATGGTGTTATCTGTTATCATTCTTGTATATTCGATAATAATAATAAATTAGTAATTATAAATATAATTGTATGTAAGTAATAATAAATTCGTTTATTTAAAGCCAATACGACTCTGTGACACGAAAGCCCTGTTTTGTATCCCAAAATGGCCGCTAGTGACGTCCCGACCATGAATTCCTTTATTACACAGGCTGTCACTCGAGTTAGCCTGCTGATTGTTTTTGTATATGCTGTGATTTTACGTAGAATCCAAATATGCAATCACATACAAGGTGTCCTATTTGAAATAAGCAAATTTACGTCTACTTTCGGTATAACCAAAAGAGCCACCATCTTGAAAATATTTTATCCGGGCTGTTCCCATTGACATTAGTATACTGTCAAATTTTCGAAAATGTTCTGCATACAGCTTTCCATATACAGTGTGATTTTTTAAGTGTGCAAGATATGGGAATTTTTTTTAGTAATAGCACAACCCAAATACAAACAAGGCCAAAGTTGGTGCATGTCTGATAATCATATTAGGTGCACTTAGAATGGTTGTAAGTCAAACAGCATACAGGGTAGCTCAAACAATATCAAAGCTGTACCGTAAAGTACCCTTATTTTAGAAAATTCAGCAAAATGTTATAGAGAAAAGTTGTTTGGAATTAAAAGTTATGCCTAAGTACCAAAACATAGCCTCCTAAGATTTTTTTATTTTTTTTCGAAAAAAATCTATTTCTATATTTTTTTTTATTTTTTATTTCCGCCCTTAATACTCCCAAAAATTAATTAAAATCAAATCAATTTTACATAACTTTGTTCAAATTCAAGCATATTTGTAAAATTAACTCAGATTTTTAATTTTTTATGGAATCACAAAATTCATGTTTGTTGCAATGATATTCAACACAACTTTAAAATGTCGCATTTTTTTTAACAAGTTAAAACATTACTAATGATAATAGCCACATTAAAAAAACTCTCCTTGAAGTGCAAAAGTTTTATTTTATTCAAGTAAATATTACTACAATTTTGATATTTTTTCAGCTACCCTGTATGCTGTTTGACTTGCAACCATTCTAAGTGCACCTAATATAATTATTAGACATGCACCAACTTTTGGCCTTGTTTGTATTTTAATTGTGCTATTATTAAAAAAAAATGCCATATGTTGCACACTTGAGTAATGACAGTGTATAGCTGTCATAGATCGATTTGGTTCCCGATTGGACACCCTGTATAGATAATGATTTGTGATACTTAGCCCAGTGCAAATACCTGGACTTAACCAAATCACTACAAAATTCTATGATTTGTGCTAATTTGGCCCAGTGCAAATACCTGGACTAAACCAACCAGGCTTCACAAAAACCTGCTTCATTATTTGCCAATGAAATTCCTGACTTTTCCTATGAACCTCTATGGTCAGTTCTTCCTGATACCATTATTGGAGAAAGTCGATTAGCCTATGCGGATACTGCAGCTACAAGGTCAATTGCGGAAGAAGACTTTATGAAATTTACAAAGATCATGTCGAAAATCATTCTGATATTTTATATGAAACTTTATTGATAACCTTGGCCCATGGAAATGTGATAACGCATCGAGCTGTTTGTTTTCAATTTACGACAATCAGTTGAAAACTTGATTTCAATGTCTATTTTTCTATTAACTATTCTATAAACTAAGAAGGTATATTAAATTATATTATTATCACATTTATTTTTTTTAAAGTTAGGG